AAACATTTAAATATTAATAAAAGTATATTTTGTAGTTTCATACTGTTTCAAAGACATAAACTGTATATATAGATCTATATAATATAGTTATAAAATGGAGAAAGTATAATGGCATAAGAACTAGACGTGTGCATTACAAACGGGAGTCAGAGATTCCGAGCTATTTTGACTATTTCGGACTCAAACTTCACTTAACTTTTTTCAGGAAAATTTTGGATTCAGACTGCACTCAAGTTTCTCAACAATGTTTTGCAACACGGGTAATGTTTTGGTTTGCAAACTTACCTTGTGTTTTAATCTGTGGGTTTCATAAAGGTTACATCTTATTACATTTTAGTTAATAAAGATTTTAAATAGTCTCCGATACTCACAGTTTGTGATTAACCTTTTTTTTTTATTTTATACTACTTCAGTTGATCACATAAATCTAAACACAAGTTGTAAGAAGTTATCTCCACTTGGTAAACAATTATTATTTCTGACCAGCCTTAATTTAGTATTTGTGTTTAACAACAATGCAATGCATCCTCCGAATGTTCCACATTGAAGTATTCAAATGTAAACAAGGTGGGTGCCATATTTCTTGGGTCTCAGTTAGCGGGGCACGAGTTCGCCCACACTGCACTGTGATTTATGTTACCACCCTCGGCAAGAGTAAGGATGACCAGCCCTCGGGGCGACCGCTCAGATGTGATGGACGTTGCACCGGGTGCCACAGCTTGTTCCGTTTAGCCATCGGTTGGTGTAGCCAACCGTATCTCCAGTGTAGGGCACTCTTAAAGACGGATGTAGGCGCCAGAATGCTCATTTTGGTAGACCAGACTGTTACAAGCCTTAAAGTATTTTCTCTAACTTTTCTAACAGTACTTGGTGGGATGGAATTCTGGAGTAACACTGAGATCACAATACATTGTTTAGGATGCCTTGGATTTAAAAAAACTGTAGGCGTACATCTGTTTTAAACTTAGGGTCACCCCCCCCCCCCCAGCACAGCCTTTCAAACCTTATCAACGTCTGTGTCATTTGGTCAATATATCTGGGCCACCTTATCTCGGCCACCTTATCTCGGCCACCTTATCTTGGCCACCTTATCTCGGCCACCTTATCTACCGAGCCATCACCATCATGGGACTCACTTTTCATCACTTTTCACACCAACCATCCCTTACCAGTCCCCCACCCCCCTCCAAACACCCACCTCACTCCAAACACCCATCTCCAACCGTCACCCCCCCCCCCCCTTCCTCAACCATGACCTCCCGACATGGCGGGGGAGCCCTACCCCTGCTGCAGACGACACCGACGTGGCTCACGTCTGCAGCCGTGTGACAGCGATCATAAGTCGATTCCCGCGCTCAATTGAGATGGTCTGTTCTACTCGTCTGCTCAATGACCGGAGTTACGCGCCCACTCCAAAGTCGTCTGCTAGAACTGTGGCAATACAATTCATTCGATTACCCCCTTTCCTACTAAGGGGACTTAAGCATGCTCTTGCTCCAAGGCAATATTTTATTTACCGAATAAATGTGGAATTAACCCCTTACTGTCCGTGTTGTTGCAGGAATATAATTTATACAAAATCCGTTATTAACCAACTGAGTTTATGAAAATAAACGAAACCCCTGGACGATAGGAGCCATGGAGGGAGCTAAGATTTTTAGCTCTGGCCTTAAGCTCTAGCCACGGGTCAGACAACGTTATCAAGAATGGGAACTGTAGGGGAAATAACTGAGGAAATTTTTTCCTTAGAAATGTTACACCGCGGCGAAATGAAGGCTCGTTCTGGACCGTGGGCTAATAGGGCGCAAAATGGACAAGTAATGGAGTTTGGACTCGTTAGAAGTGAGGACGGGATGATGATGAATGGAGAAATTGCCAAGTAATGTAGAGTAATAGTCTAGCTGGGCGGACACGGTGGAACTTTGGCCGCGGGCGGGGATCCATCTCGGGGCAGGGCGCAGGAGGGTAAGACTACAAGAACTGATCCCTTACCGGGGGTCGGGCCCTGATTGGCAACATTTGTCCCGCTCGTTACAAAAATCAGCTCGCGTCAATGCGTTTTCCGCCTGGCTACAATCCGTGTCGGGCCGAGGATAGAACCAATTTTAGCCAATCTGGCAATCCAATGGTGGCAAATTGCAGACGTAGATTGACTGGCCACTCGACACAAATGAAAGTCCCCTCCTCGCGACACCTTTTTTCCCCCCTCCACTTGGCTGAAGCCTCCTTCATGGAGCAGGGACAATCTTCCAACTTTTGTTTTCATGCCTCCAATCGAAAACATTTTTTACATCACGTGGTCTATTAGCATTAACCTGATTGGACAAGCCTGAGCCAATCATGTGCATTGTTTATTTGCAATTTTTAAAAATTTCAAATGAGCGAAATGGTTTAAAAAATGTGTCATCAAATCTTACAATTAGTTTTTTTAACGCGAATATCAGCAAACATGGGCAATTCAAACTCTACTAAAATATGCTGCTTCAACATGCTACAAGATATGTTACTACAACATGCTACTAAAACATGCTACTCAAATATGCTGCTTCGACATGCAACAAGATATGTTACTACAACATGCTACTAAAACATGCTACTACTGATATACAGATACAATAACGCTACTCCAACAGGATAACTTTCTGCTGTTGGAGGATTCAGGACAAGAAGATGGAGTTTGATAGGCTAAGAGTATCCTTCGCAAATCGCCAACCCATATCACAGGACTGGCCTTGAGGTGGAGCCCACAAGAAAAGCAACAAATTAGGTCGACCAAGAAACACCTTGAAGTGAAAGCTAAAAATAAAATACTTAAAAAAAACTTTTTAAAAAACCACGTTTTTCTTGTGGACTAAAAAGTAGAAAATAACTATTTACATACATTTGATGACAAAAAACGTGGGTACGTTCACCATCAAATTTCCCGACCCATCTGCCCGACCCACGTTTTTTGTCATCAAATGTATGTGAATAGTTATTTTCTACTTTTTAGTCCACAAGAAAAACGTGGTTTTTTAAAAAGTTTTTTTTAAGTAGTTTATTTTCTCCTTTTTAGTCCGTTGCTACACATGAAAAACGTGGTTTTTAAAAAAGTTTTTTATATAGTTTATTTTCTACTTTATCTAATGACTTGATTAAGTATGAATTGACTAAGTGTTTATAAATACACGGACTAAAAAAATCTTGAGCGACCAGGATTCGAACCTGGGTTGTCGCGGCCACAACGCGAAGTACTAACCACTATACGATCACGGCCAGCGCGCTCACATCGATTGGGGCCGAAGTAACTGTGTCAATAAGCCTCCAGTCTTGTCGGTATCTTTAGAAATCATGTCCTCAATTTATGGTCCTTGGGGCGTAATTAAATTAAGCTAATTACGGTCTCTAATTGCTAGTTTTTATGATTGCATCTGAAATTGTTAGGCGAAAGTAACCTGCATGCCAAATTTCAGATCTATAGAGCAATCAGAAGTGGGCTAATTTTCGATGTCAATTTTAACAACAAACACACAAACGCGAAGCTGAGTTAATAAAAACGTGTTAACAAAAAGATGGGCTATAAATAGAGCGCGGTTGTGAGTAAGGCACAGGTCATTTCAGTTTGACCAGCCAACATCACAGTGACACTACCACCATCAGTGTTTCTTCCAGACTTTTTTCTCCGGGGGGGGGGGGGGCACTTAAAATTTTCGGGGGGGGGGGGGGGGCGGACACTGTTAAAAGTATATATTTTCTATATAAATTTCATTTCGTTGGGGGGGGGGGGGGGGAGGGCGGTAGACTTTATTCGAAGAAAGAAGAGATGCCTGGAAGAAACTCTGACCACCAGAGCAACGCGAAGGCACACCGCAATGCTAAAAGCACCAGACGCCTCACGTTCAAGGAACTTTTGGCTTCGTTAGCAATTTAAAACAATGTCCAAAACACAACTACAGCCACCAAACTTGGTATTTCTATGGCATGAGATCTGATATGACATAATGACATCTTGGCATGACATCTGATATCTGGGTATGATGACATTGGAATGGCATCTGATATCTGGGTATGATGAAAGTTGGAATAATGTCATCTTGTTGCAGTCTAACATTTAATAGAAAATAATTTAAAATAATTGAACTTAGGTGTCTATTTTTTTTTATTTAAATAATTAGTAAAGATAATTTTAAAAAAAAAAAACTCCATTGACAAACAACAGTCTCAAAAAATATTTTCATTCTTTCTCTTAAAGCTTATTAGGAAGGTGTAAAACCTTGAGATTTGTAAAAATTTAAAAAAATTTCTTTCTCAATATGAGCTGGAAAAACTTAGTTTTATTTTTGTCTGTATTCTATGTCTGTGTGTGTGTGAACAGAACTTCAGTATTGTTTTAGTTAGGTTTACTAAATTTCGTTTATAAGTATTATATCTAATTAGAAGCCAAAACAAAATATAGCCTACGTTGAATTGTGATTCTTTTTTAAGAAGAGTATAGTTTATTATTTATTACTAGATAATCGGACCGTTGAGGGGCAAATACAGCGGATACTGATAGTCTTTCTTCATTCGTCTAATCCAAAACCAAAATCTCCACCTCAAACTAAATCTAACTTTCAACCGGTAGCGGAAATTTATCTGGCTCCAATCGAACCAGATACGGAACTTTATAGGGGATTAGAAATCAAGCCGGAACATTGACCGGAAACGAAAATTTCATTAGAAACGACAATTTAACCAGAT